GAGGGCTTGGCCATAGTGTTAGCTTTCCATACTTTGTTTCTGCTCTAACTCAGTGGAATCTACCTGCCTTCATGGTGAAGATCAGAGGTCATATATCTGTGTGAAAGAGCAGGCCTGAGGTTGGTCCCTGCTTCTTCCAGGCCAAGATAAATGGACTTTCAGCTTCAGATCATGACTCCCAACTTTATTTTGACAATCACTTTGTCAAAAAGCCTGGATCCTACAAGGACAGACTTCTTTTCTGAAAAGAGTATTAGTATGTTTATAGGTATTCTGTGATTATGTTTGTTATTCAAAATAAGCTTAAAGGACATACTTAATAACTCTAGAACTATTGTCACTAAATTTGCAATCCAATTATTACTATGGGTTTATGATCCAAACAAACAAAAATAATGATCCCATTAGTAGTTGAAGACTGTAATAATGTTGGTTGAGTGTACATTTTGCTTCTAAGGATACAAAAACACATGGATAATAAGTAAAAATTACACTGGTGTTCTTGGGAAGACTTTATATTGTTATGACTAATGCCCAAACACTAATTCCATTAATACTTAAAAATCACAACCATTCTCTTAAAAATAATTTTATGTTAAAATGGAAAAAACACAAAAGTTAAGGAGTAATTTTATCCCCAGGAAAGATGTAGGATAATTTAACCTTATTAGCAAGAAACCCGTTGATGTATTCTGTGGAAGCCAGAGTTACTAAATAGCAAGCCAAAAGGTCACTAATTGAAAATTTGACTGTCAGGAGATAGTATGATATGCTCATAAGTGTTTGGATTAGGACAATGTGAGTCATAGGTAAATGTGATGATAATTTTCCAGCCCACCTAACCTATTTTATTGGTAACTTTAGAATTTCTATTGTGAAAAAGACTTAAAAGCAACAATCTAGTTAGAATGGTTGTATATGGGGGAATTGTCTGGAGGCTGCAATTGTGTAAGCAAGTACATCTGTATTGACTTAAATTCTGTGTTTAGTTCAGATAGCTTGAAGAAAGGAAAGATGAACATTGGAGGGAAGGAAGGTTCATCTTTTTGGTGATGTGATTCCTATCCTCTACCTTGAAATGCTATTATATAAACAAAACAATGATATTGAAGATGTTAAAGATCCACTGATAAGTGGAAACTGGAAGTTGCAGAAACAAATGTATATCATGGATTCTTGAAAAAATTAAAGAGAATGAGAGAGAGAAAATAAACATGAATTAGAGAAGGTCCAAAGGTGGTGGTCCAGAAACAACCTACAGTAGAGACCAAAAGACCAAATAAAGTCCTTTTACAGGTATATTTATCAGTTTCCCCAGAGGCCAAAAAATAGGAAAGTTGCTGCCTTCTGATCATTGAAGATATACTTTTTTCCTTTTCTCTTAAACTTTAGTGTTCCACATGGCAGTTCAGATATCTCACTCATAATATTTGTGGTTTAGGTTCTGCCCATAGCACTGAAAAGACCTGCTGGTTTGAATACCTATAATCTTACTTTTTGTTAAAAAAGCACCTTGTCCTCCTCTTCCCTCACACACAACAACGTAGCAATTTAAGGAAATGGGCTTTTATTTTGTCATAAGATAATTTCAGACAGAATTTCAGAACACACACAAAAATAGGATGTAAAATAAAAATTTAAAAACCCTGATATACTTACCTATGACAGAGACCCAACTTTCATCAACCCATAGCAACCCAGGCCCAAACCATGCTCCTACTCCTTTCTCTTCCCATATCAATTTTTTCTTTTTGAAAGATTATTGCCACTTTTGTTTGATACAGATATTGGTCACATTTTTTTAATTTTTATATTTGTTCTAATTAGTTATACATGACAATAGAATGCATTTTGACACATCATAAATAAATGGAGTTTAACTTCTCATTCTTCTGGTTGTACATGATGTAGAATCACACTGGTCTTCCCATATCATTTGAAACAAATTCCACTTTTAATCTATATTTCAGCACATATATATAAAAAATGAATAATTAGGGGCTGTGGCTGTGGCTCAGTGGCACAATGCTCGCCTAGCTCATGTGAGGCACTAGGTTTGATCCTCAGCACCACATAAAAAAGATAAATAAACAAAATAAAGGTATTGCATCCATCTACAACTAAAGAAAAGCATAAAAAGGAAAATATGAATAATTAAAAGCATTACAATGGTGCAAACATAACCCATAGAAAATAAAATATTTTTTTAATATAATCAAATTTATAGTCATTGTTCAAATTTCCAACTTTTGCATAAATATGATGAATTTTTTCACATAAATCTTCTAATTGGGATTCCAGTAAGGTATGCATGCTGGGGTTGTCTTATTATTTATTTATTTATTTATTTTGGTACTAGGGATTGAACCCAGGGATGCTTAACCACTAAGCCACATCCCCAGGATTATCTATCTGTATATCTATTTATTTATTTAATTTTGAGACAGTTCTCACTAAATTGATTAGGTATTGAGGCTGATATTGAACTTGCAACCCTCCTTCCTCAGCCTCCTGAGCTACTGGGATTATAGGAGTGCTCTACCACACCCAATTTATTTTCTTTTTAAATTTAATTTAATTTTAGGTACTGAGGATTGAACACAGGAGTGCTCTACCACTAAACTACATCTTCAGCCATTTTAATTTTTATTTTTTTAAATTTGGAGACAGTGCTAAGTTGCTTAGAACCTCATTAAATTACTGAGGCTGGCCTCTAACTTGTGATCATCCTGCTTCAGCCTCCTGATTTGCTAGGATTTCAGGCATGCACCATCCTGCCCAGCTGTTAATTTATTTTTAAGTAAATAATTTAGTGGTTTTTAGTATATGAGCATATTTGTGGAACCAACACCACTCTCTAATTTCAGCACATTTTATCACCTCAATAAAAAACCCCATACCCATTAAGCATTAAGTCCCATTCCCCATTTCCTTCTCTCAGCCTCTGACAGCCAGTAATTTATTTTCTGTCTCTCCAGATTTGTCTATCTTGAACTTTTCATAAAAATAGAATCCTTTAATATGTCTGAATTCTATTTGAATCCTGTCACTTAGGATAATGTTTTCAAGGTCCATATATGCTATAGCATGTATCAATACTTCATTTTTATTACTAATAAAATATTCCATTACATGAATATATCACAGTTTATTTATTCATTAATCAGGTAATAAGCATTTGTGTTCTCTCCAACTTGAGAATATTATGAATAGTCTTATCATGAGCATTTTTGTACAAGTTTTTGTGTAGACATATACTTTCAATTCTCTTTATGACTATGAGTAGAATTGCTGGTTCATAGCTCACTTTTTGAAGAACCATCAAGCTGTTTTCCAAAGTATCTGTAATATTTTATATTGCCAATGTATGAGAGTTTCAATTTCTCCACCTTCTCAACATTACTTTTGATTTTCCATTTCTTTATATTATAGCCATTCCTTTGGATGTGAAGTTGTGACATCACCAGAAATTGGCCAAGGAGGTCCTGTAGAGGGGGACCACTGACTAAGGAAACCAGGGTCCTTAATATACATGATGGTAGGGAAGGCAACAGAACACAACAGACACTAGTATGGCAGTATGTAAAAAAGTGGATGTGTAACCGATGTGATTCTGCAATCTGTATATGGGGTAAAAATGGGAGTTCATAACCCACTTGAATCAAATGTATGAAATATGATATGTCAAGAACTATGTAATGTTTTGAACAACTAATAATAAAAATTAAAAAAAGAATTTCAGCACACATTAGCTATTGAGGTGTGAGGATTTATTTAAGAAAACAAGGAATTCAAGGGAGAATGTGGGCCATCTCTAGAGTAAGAGATGCTTCCAGGTTTCTCAGGCTCTTCCTTAATTTATTATCGTTATTGTTTTGGGTACTGGGGATTGAGCCCAGGGGTGCTTTACCACTAAGCTACATCCCCAGACCTTTTAATTTTTTTTTTTTTTTTTTTTTTAGATAAGGTCTTGTTAAGTTGCTGAGACTGGCTTGGAGCTTGCAATTCTTCTGCCTTCACCTCCCAAGTTCCTCGGATTATAGGTGTGATCCACTACACCCAGCTCAGACTCTTTTAAAGGAGACTTAATAAAGGGGTGGGTATACAAAGGTATGTGGGGATGCTATCAGTCCAGTGATCCCAAGATGGTTATGGTGGCCTGGCAATTCTCTGGATCCTTATGGTAACATCTTCTTCATTAACTGATAATATTGAGAAAATACCCTATATGATAGGTTTCTGGGAAAATATACTAAATTATAGGGATTTTTAAATCTCCCTTTGTTCAATATATTCTAACTATTCATGTATTAGTGGGCTAATTAACCACACAGGAAATTTTCATAAGTGGGTGAATTTAGCTAGGGATATAGCTCAGTGGTTGAGAATGTGCCTAGCATGTACAAGGCCCGGGGTTCAATCCCTAGCACTGATTTAAAAAAAATAAATAAAAGATTATGAGCAAAGATTGTAAAATTTCCCAGAAATTTGAAAGCTACAGGACTAGAAGAAAGAACTGGCTTGGGGAGTGAAGTTATGAGAAACCTAACACAATGCTTTCAGATTAAATTTAAATTTCTATTTTCCTTCTGTTTGTCTCCTTTTGTTTTATACCCTACCTCAAAATTGTAGTTTTGATTTATTGTCTTCTTAAAAACTTTGTTGAATTAAGCAGTGATGAAATTTGATTTTGGGTTGCTATATATTGGAAGACATTTTGTTACTAATTTACAAACTAACTTTTCAAACAATGTTGAACACTTTTCATGCACTTACTGACCTTTTATGAATCTTCTTTGGGTAAATTATTTGCCCATTTAAAAATTTCACTCATGGAGCTGGGGGTTGTGGCTCAGTGGTCGCGCACTTGCCTAGCATGTGTGAGGCACTTGGTTAGATTCTCAGCACCACATACAAATAAATAAAATAAAGGTTCATAAACAACTAAAAATATTTTTTTAAATAAAAATAAATAAAAATTTCACTCATATGTCCTTTTATTGTTGAAAAATGACTTTATTCTAGATATAAAGCATATCTATGCCAGCTTTTTGATTTGCAATTATTTTCTCCCATTTTCTTTTCACTTTTTTTCCTTCCTTTTGTTTTTATTATAGCACATTTGCTGAATTTACAACAAGCATAAAATAACCTGTGTCTTGTTTTGATGCAAACTTTGATGTTTTCAAAGGTTGTATACAATAATTGTTAAAAGAACATATAAAAATATCTTTTCAGAAACTTCTATAAGAAAGAAAATACAGAGTTTAACCCCACAACGTTTCTCTTTGCTAGAACTACAAATACTGCTACAGTTTTAAATAGACTTTTTATTGTTTAAAATATACATTCAGGAAAATCTAAAAAAAAATAAAGAAACGTGCATATAAATGATTGCATAGCAGAACATGAACTTTATATTAACTTCAAATAGTAAAGAAATGAAAGAAATAGTATCAAATATACAAAGGTTGTAGAATCAATCTTTTAAACACACAAATGGTATTTAAAAACCATCTTTTTGTTCTTTACAGGCTATACCTAGATTTCTAAAATCAAAATTGAAAAAAGGAATCGTTTCCCCACAATACTTTTTACTTATATCTGCAAGTAAGCACATATATATGTAATCTTAGGTTTCAAAAGATGCTAGCTTTTTACTCTGAAATGAGACTGGACTTTTCAAGTCACTTTTTATTGCCTTCAAATGACCATTCAGAGAAATACTAGAAATTATAGTTAACTGTATTACTTCCCCACTTTTAATCAGGTATAAACAAAAACTCATGAGGTGGCTCTTGCTTAAAACTAACCATTTTCCCCAAATTATTTTAAATTCCATGGCACCACAGAATCATTCACTTAGAATGGGAGTGTTGTCTTTCAACTTGCCTCATGTTAAATAAACTGACATGTGAAGAGAAAATCTCCCTCATAAAGAGGTAGGGAAATTGTGATAAAAATGTACGCACTGAGTGCTGTAAGCATCAAAATTCAGTTCTTTTACAATATGCGTGCACACGCACACATATACCCACAAACACCCCTACTTTGAAACAATTTACTTGCTCCTAACAGAAATAAGAAATCCAAGCAACAGTGCTCCTTAAATTTTAGAATAACTACATTAAGAACATTCTTTTCCCCCTAAAAAATATTTGTAATCATTGACCTTCTCAAATTTTAAGGGGAGCTTTTCTGATATTATTATATTCCAAACCTTCATAGAAACCAGAAAAAAAAAAGCAGTGAAAGCTTCATGTTTCATTCAAAAATTATTACCCTGAAAATACTACTTAACCAAGTGGGCATCATTCCCCAAGACAGTGGGGTTAACAAAAGTATTATTACACACTGTATCATAAGTAAACTATTATCATAGGCATACACATTTTGATAAGACAAAAAGGTCCACCATGGACCTAAATGTATCTGAGCAGTCAGTGTTGCACTGTGGCTACAACTTCACTTTTGTATCATTCCATCTTATTAACAAGCTATATTTCTATGTTGTGTTTAACCAAATATGGATATTGAAAGTTTATTCTTAATAAAACAATGCTGCAAACTATGGTCAACCAACATCTTTTCACCAAAATTTCAAGCATAAAATTTGAGAATCTTTACAAAAAATATCAACAACACAAATTTGGTAGCTGCCCATAACTTCTCAACAGCATATCATTTTAATTATAACCATTGCCAGGTACAGGGAAAACTAACACGTATTTTTATGCATCATTGCAACATTATGTTCCCAATGTTTTAAGTATACCAAACTATGAGTAAATAAATGATACATGCCTAAAATTTATCATGGTTTATACCATCAGTGGCCAATGGACTTAGGAATAGTCTAAGACCTTGATCTAGATTTTGACCTAGATCTAGACTGTGATCTTGACTGAGATTTGGATCTAAGTCTTTCTTTCTTCCTTGATTCCTTTTCATATCTTGCGCCAGACTTTGTTCTGGAATAAGTTTTAGAGGTGCCTCTAGTTTTGGTGCGAGATGCAGACCTGGAACGTGATTTAGCCTTCGTTTCCCTCTTGGGCTTGGACTTGGACCGTGATCTTGAATTGGATGTAGATGTTGAAGAAGATCGATTTCGGTGTTTGAATCTATCGCTGTCGGAATGGCTTCTGCTACGCCGTCGTCTTCGAATAGGTCTACTGTTTCTAGGGCTATAAGATCTTCTATAGTTGTAATCAAAAGACCGACTTCTTGATCGCCTCCTTTCATAACTTCGGCTTCTAGAACGTCTGTATCTGTCATAATCATCATAGCGTGAAGAACGGTACACATTCCTCCCTTCCTTGGCTTTCATTTGATTTGGTGTTTTTCGATCCCCCTGCGCAAACTCTATTTCGACTTGACGACCACAAATCCATTTTCTGTCCAAATTTTGTAAAGCATCTTCAGCATCGCGGACAAACTCAAATTGAACATAAGCAAATCCCCTTGGCCGTCGAGTATAAAAGTCAAGTGGAACATACACATCGACTATAGGGCCATAATGACCAAATTCACGCCGTAAATCTTCAGATCTAATGTAGTCAGCCACATTTCTCACGAAAAGAGAAGTGTTGGGGGGGTACTGGTAGCGGGACATAACGACGGTGCTAATTTCTGCCAGGGGCAGAAACCGCTCAGCGAACCGTTGATGGCGGCTCCTCAGACACAGATGGACGCACGCACGCACGCACGCATGCACGCACGCACGCACGCACGCACGCACGCACGCACGCACGCATGCACGCACGCACGCATGCACGCACGCACGCATGCACGCACGCACGCATGCACGCACGCACGCATGCACGCACGCACGCATGCACGCACGCACGCATGCACGCACGCACGCATGCACGCACGCACGCATGCACGCACGTCTGAAGGCTCCACTATGGCAACTGCCTCTTATCGCGAGACTTCACTCCTGCCTCCATTATCTCTCCACTTCCCCTTCTTTCACTTTCTTGACAGTATTCTCTGAAAGACAAAAGGGTTTAACTTTGATGAAGTTAAATTTATTCAATTTTTATTTTCTCATGTATGACTTATGTGTTATATCTAAGTAACCTAATCCAATGTCAAGATATTTCCCCCTATATGTTCTTCTAAATTTTTATAGTTTTAGCCATTATATTTAGTCTTTTGATCCATTTTAAGTTTTGTGTATTTTGTGGGGTAGAGGGTCTAAATTCATCCTTTAGCATGTGGGTGTCCAGTTGTCCCAGTACCCTTTGTTAAAAAGACACTTTCCCCAGTGGGGTGGCCCATGCCTGTAATCACAGCTGCTGGGGAGGCTGAGGCAGGAGGATCACGAGTTCAAAGCCAGCCTCAGCAATGAAAAATATTTTTAAAAAGGGCTGGAGATGTGGCTCAGTGGGTAAGCACCCCCGGATTCAAACCCTGGTACCAAAAAAAAAAAAGATATTTTTCTCCTTTGAATCACCTTGGCACCTTTGTCTTTGAAGTTCATCAACTAATCATAAATGTCAGAGTTTTATCATTCCTCTTTTCTAGCCTTATGCCAATTCCACACAGTCTTAATTACTGTATTGTCAGGGTTATCTACAAGAACTAACAGAATTTAAATGATTATAAAAAATAGATTTCTCAAATTGGTTTATAGGATCAGATGCTGGATAGTCCCACAATGGTTGTCTACAGACTGGAGAGCTGGAGAAAACAGTAACTGCTCAGTCCAAGAAGCTTGGGCCAGTGTCCTCAGGTGATCACAGCAGCATCTAAGAACCAGCTCAAGAAGAATGGAACTTGCATTTGCATCAGCTTATTCCTTCTTCCCTTTTTGTTTTGGATATTAACAACCTATTAGACTTGTAATGCCAGGTTCCTGGGACCCCAGTAGACCTCCAGGAGCTGAATCCAATGCAATCACACAAGAGTCTTTATTGCAAGCTTGAGCCTGGACTCAATCGTTTCCGATGCAATGGTCCCAAGGAGTGAGTTCAGTGAGGATTTATAGGTTTTTGGGGATACTCTATGCATCACACATCACACAGCAAATCATTTCACACAGCGGGAAAGTCAAACAACAACTCTTAACATTGATTAGCACATTCATTGGCGGGAACAAGTCAGGTAAGGATGATTGGGTAGTTCAAGTGTTGGATTCATTTGAACTGATTGGTTTAGGCTGTGAGGGCTATACTGCTAAACTACATGGCTTCCTAACATGATATCAATCACTAAAACTACTGGGAGGGTCACCTGGCATTTCAGATATTTTCCCTATCTCATGCTGATTGGTGGTGCTAGGGGGTTGCTATGGGTCCTCACCTAGAGTAACTGAGTCAGGGACACCTGGCACCACAGATCTCTCCTGTTATTTAAAAACAACTCAGCAGGGTGGCTATGTGCCTAGCAGAGCTCTGTGGGTTTTTCCAAGGACAGGGGTTATGCCCCCTCCCTCTGGACAGGCCTTAAGGTAGATGCTGGTTTCTCAAAAATGGAGTCCTCAGTCTCTCAGACTATTTCTGGCACATTCTCAGTAGGTGGTGTCCCCCTCCCCCTCAATTTGTTGTCTTCCATTACAATCATTTCTGGAAACATCCTCATTGACACACCCAGAAGTCCTTTAATTTTAGGCATTTTTAATCCAATCAGGTTGACAGTCCAGATTAATCATGAAAATTACTTTAGCTTTGTAATACGTTCTGAAATTCAGAAGAAATGAGTTATCCAATATTATTCTTCTTTTAAAAGGATTTTTTTTTGGGTTATTCTGGTTCCATATTATTTCCATATGAATTTTAGGATCAGCTTTCCAACTGAAGCAGAAAAGTCTTCTGGGATTCTGATAGGAATTGCTTTGCATATTTAGATCAAATTAAGGACTATTGCCAGTTTAACAGTATTATGTCTTCTAACTCATGAACATGGAATGACTGCCCATTTATTTAGTTTTCATTAATTTCTTTTTATTATTATTATTTTTTATTGTAGATGGACACAATACCTTTACTTAATTTATTTTTATGAAGTGATGAGGCTCAAATGCAACTCATATGTTACACAAGTGCTCTATCACTGAGTTACAACCACAGCCCATATATCATATATATATGATATATATATATATAATTATTTATTTAAATTTTTTAAATTAATGGATTCATTTTAATTAGGTGTATATGACAGCAGAATGCATTTTGATTCACTGTACACAATTGCAGCACAACTTTACATTTCTATGGTTATACACAATGTAGTGTCACACAATATGTGCAGTCATACATGTACGTAGGGTAATGATGTCCATCTCATTCTACCATCTTTCCTGCCCTCATGCACCCTCCATAATTAATTTCTTTTTAAATTTTAAATTCTTTTAAATTTTCTTTTTAAAAAGCAGTTTTACTGAGATATGACTGTTTATCACAAAGATCTGCACATGTTTAATTGGTTCAATTTTCTGAATTTGGACATATGCAAACACTCATGATACATCACCACAACTGAGGTGTTAAGAAAGTATCCAGTGCCTCTCATATTTTTCTTGTGTTTCTTTGTTTTATTTTTGTTATACGAATATTCTTAACAAAATTTGAAACTTACAATGCTGCATTGACAACTATAGGTATTAATTTGTATAGTTGATGTCTAGAACTTATTCATCTAACATAAATTAAAATTGATACTTACTGAAAAAAATTTCCTTTTCTCCTCTTCTCTAAATCCCTTACAACCATTATTATATTTTCTACTTCTTTGAATATGACCATTTTAATTACTCATATAAATGAAATCATGAAGAATTTGCCCTTTATGAGTGCTTTATTTCACTCAGCATATTGTCCTCAGGTTCATCCATGCTGTTGGAAATGGAATGTTTTTCTTCTTTTAAAAGGCAGAATAGTATTCCATTGCATTTATATACCACATTTTATTTTGCCATGTCTCTATTCCAGGCACTTGAGTTATTTTCCTAATCATAGCTATGGTGACTAATGCTGCAATGAACATGCAGATCTCTCTTCAATTGTTATTTTAATTACTTTGTATATATACTCAGCAGTGGGATTTATAGAACATATGGTAGTTTTGTTTTAATTTTTTTTTTGAGGAACCTCCTTGCTATTTTCCACAGCTGCTTTATCATTTTACATTCCCATCAATGGTGTACAAGTTCCAATTTTTCTCATTCTCACCAATATTTTTTATCTTTTATTTTTCAGATAGTAGTTCTCCTAATAAGTATGAGGTGATATCTCACTGTTGTTTTGATTTGCATTTCCTTAATAATTAGTGATAATAAATATTTTTTTCTTATGCTTGTTCATTTATTTGTCTTTATTGAACAAAAGTTTGTTTAAGTTCTTTTCCCATTTGTCAATTGGGTAATTTGATTTATTGCTATTTAATTGTAGTTCCTTATTTTTTTGGAAATCAATCCCCTATCAGGTATGTGGTCCCTTTGGTCTATGTATTTGTTTTTATGCCAGTATCATGTTAATTGGATTAATATAATTTTATAGTATAATTTTGAATCAGGTAGCATGCTATCTTCAGCTTTGTTCTTTTTGTTCAAGATTTATGGTTTCCTATAAATTTTAGGATTTTTTTTTCTATTTCTATAAAAAACGTCATTGGAATGTGTTTGGGATTTCATTGAATATATTGATTGATTTGGGTAGTATGGCTATTTTAATCATGTTAATTAATGGATATTTTTCTGTGTAGGGTGTTATAGAGGAAAGGAGAGGGTTTGGCTTTGTAAAGGCTACTGAGTGTTTGAGAGGACTGTTTGAAAAAACAGAAGCCTAAAAGAAGGGCCAATTACAAGGACAGAAGGGGCCCTGTGAAGCCTTTGAACATACATTTATGTCTAGCCCAGGGGGGTAGAAATGTTTTGAGTCATCTACATCTTAGTTACATCATTGGGAGCTGGGAATCCTAGGTTTACTCTCTGTATCTTATAGTTCCCCACTCTTTGGAAAAGGAAAATATGTTGTTTTTTTCTTATTTTCTGAGCTAAATGAGTTTCCCTCTTTCAATCAATAACCCTGTTGTATATGACAGTGTTATCCTCACTTCACCTTTGTGCACTTCTTTCTATTTTCCAGAGTTCTATCCATCATACACAGCACCTCACTATTATTTCTTATCAGTAATTATCCTCATTTTACAGATAAGGAGTGGAAGCACAGAAAAATTAAGTAGGTTACCCAAGATCTCACAGCACATCTGTGATTATGTTGAATCTTCAGCCACCTTCCAGCTGAATGTACCCATTGAAATGAAATGTACATCATTATATTGGTCAAAATATATTGGCTGATAAGTCATTGAGTGCCTACTCTGTGTCAGCAGTTCTTCTCAATTCTCCCCTCCCCTGGCACTAGGGATTGAACCCAGGGTTAATCTACCACTGAGCTATATCTCCATCCTTTTTCATTTTTTTAAAAATTTTGAAACAAGGTCTTGCTAAATTGAAGAGGCCAGCCTCAAACTTGTGATCCTCTTGCCTCAGCTCCTAAGTCGCTGTGATTGTAAGCCTGCACAACTACACCTGGTTTAGAGGCTCTTTTAATAGTGCTTAAAGGTAACTCATTTGATCCTTATAACAGTTCTCAGGTGGTAGATGGGAATATTATTCTCATTTACAAGATAAGGAAAGAAGCTCAGAATAAGTTAGCTTGCTCCAACTTACACAG